CAATATATGTTCCATTCTATATGCATCCGAAGAAGTGGGCTGTAGTCCACGAAAGCTTATGCTCTAATAAATTTGTTAGTCTCTAAGGTGCCACAAGTACTCCTGTTCTTCTTCCTCCAACTAAAAGTCAAGAAAGAATACTTTAAGAATTTAATTTAATTAAATCAGGTTTGTCATGTGGCTAAAGTTTCACAGATCTGGAAAAACAGTACTTTAAACAAACAGTACTTTTGTTTAATCTGACAATAAGGAGGGGGGGGAAGACAGTACAACCATAAATCCATCTCTTTTCACAATCAGCTACTTGATAGGATATTAAACCCATCTGGGTCCTTGAGTATCTGGTCATCAACATTGTGGTCAGTTGGCAGCAGAGGATTCTTCCCCAGAGAGTTATCTGAAACTTAACTGGTTCCATCACATGTCCTATTATTGGTGCTCAGCATTACAGCCAGTCAGAATCATAGAAGATTAGGGTTGGAAGAGACCTCAGGAGGTCATCTAGTCCAACCCCCTGCTCAAATCAGGACCAACAACAACTAAATCATCCCAGCCATGGCTTTGTCAAGCTGGGCCTTAAAAACCTCTAAGGATGGAGATTCCACCACCTCCCTATGTAACCCATTCCAGTGCTTCACCACCCTCCTAGTGAAAGAGTTTTTCTTAATATACAACCTAGACCTTCCCCACTGCAACTTGAGACCATTGCTCCTTGTTATATCATCTGCCACCACTGATAACAGCCGAGCTCGATCCTCTTTGGCACCCCCTTTCAGGTAGTTGAAAGCAACTATCAAATCCCCCCACCCCATTCTTCTCTTCTGCAGACTAAATAATCCCAGTTCCCTCAGCCTCTCCTCATAAGTCATGTGCTCCAGCCCCCTAATCATTTTTGTTGCCCTCTGCTGGACTCTCCAATTTTTCCACATCCTTCTTGTAGTGTGGACACAAAACTGGACACAGTACTCCAGATGAGGCCTCACCAATGCCAAATAGGGGGGAATGATCACGTCCCTCGATCTGCTGGCAATGTCCCATTTTATACAGCCCAAAATGCCGTTAGCCTTCTTGGCAACAAGGGCACACTGTTGAATCATATCCAGCTTCTCACCCCCTGTATTCCCCAAGTCCTTTTCTGCAGAACTGCTGCCTAGCCACTCGGTCCCTAGTCTGTAGCAGTGCATGGGATTCTTCCATCCTAAGTGCAGGACTCAGCACTTGTCCTTGTTGAAACTCATCAGATTTGTTTTGGCCCAATCCTCTAATTTGTCTAGGTCACTCTGGACCCTATCCCTATCCTCCAGCATATCTACCTCTCCCCACAGCCTACTGTCATCCGTGAAATTGCTGAGGATGCAATCCATCCCATCATCCAGATCATTAATGAAGATATTGAACAAAACCCACTCCAGGACCGACCCCAGGGGCACTCCGCTTGATACCGGCTGTCAACTGGACATCGAGCTCTTGATCACTACCTGTTGAGTCCGACGATCTAGCCATCTTTCTATCCAGTTTATAATCCATTCATCCAATCCATACTTCTTTAACTTGCTGGCAAGAATACTGTGGGAGATTCTATCAAAAGCTTTGCTAAAGTCAAAGTATATCACGCCTACCGCTTTCCCCATATCCACAGAGACAGTTATCTCAGAAGCCGAAGAAGACTGGACAGAAGAGCAGTTTCAGACCCTCCATAATATTAACACCACAAGAGTAGAGGTGGAAGAGATGTCATTAAATTGATACCCAAAGAGTCCAAATAAAAGAGTCCCGTAAGATTTTTACTTTTCCTTCTCTCCCCCAAAACCATTTGAAAGCGTGTACACATATGCGGTAATGAAGATTCCATTTCTGAGCAAAATTGAAATTAAACCCTGGAAGAGACCCTGTAAGCTAATATGAACGTAAAATCATTTTAAAGAAAGCTACAAATAACATTTTCTTCAGAGAGCAGTACTGCCATCAAGCTGTAAAACGCCTTACTACAATACACACACACACACAATCTAATCTGATCTGCACAATGGAAGAAGAAACAGGCAAAGCTGGATTTCAGAGAGAGAAACCTAGAAATCAGGAGTATCATTTGCTATGGCACAAAGCGGGCAGTTACCCCCACCCTGCTGACTTTGGACACAGTTAAGCAATAATTGCCTAGCTTTTTTTCATTTGAAAATATTTGGAACACAAAACGTTCTATTTGCTGACACAACTTTGCCTACCCTCTGAAGTGGCATCCCTGCTACAAATCATTACGCTCTTAGAATAAAATGGCAAATGCATCTCTGGGAAAGCCACACATTTTGAAACCCTCAGCCCCTCCGTTACCCCTGACTTCCCCAACAGTGACTTTGCACTGTTTCTCAGGGGGCACAAAATACGGTTCTGTATTGTAGTTTTATAAGATAACGGTCATGCTGTCAACACTTAGAAAGGTATCGTTTGAAAGCAAGGAATTTCACACAGAACCATGAGATATAAAACCCTAGTCACAATTTACTTATATTGTATTGTTGATATTTGAAGAATAAAAGTACACATTTATTTTTGGTAGGTATACATACTCAAAATTAGATAACTAAACTATGATTAAAAAAAAAATCACAGCAACAAAAATTTCCACCCTGGGAATTAAATACAGCTAGAAATAGAAAATAAATTTTGCATTGTTAGCTAACTGCTAGCTGGGAGTAGAGCAAAACCTTATGGACATCCAACACTGAGTTCTCAAGATGTTTAAAACCAATTTCAATATGTGAAACACTTGTATCTAAAGTTTCTCTCATAGAAATACAACATAGCCCAGAATACAACTAGAGCTGCTAGTTATCGAAAAAGCAAAGGCGGCTTAGAGCTTCTCTACCTTCCACAATGTAGCTTTTAAAGAGTCATTTAAAGTCAGTTTAAAAGTTTCTTGTTCAAAGAAATTTAAACATTCAAACAATATTATATAAAAGAAGCCAAATACATCCCACTTTTCTTATGCTAATAGACCTTTTGAAGCCAAGGAGGCTACCCTTCTGAAAAGCAAAAGAATTTGAGGCCAAATTCCAATTTTTTGGAGGGTAAAAGCAACTCTAAATTTTAAGATTTTTTTTTAAAAGTAGTGCTTTAGTGTTGGCCTTCTTTAATGGCTTGTGTTTTAGCTAAGAGTTGAACTAAACTGCTATGTCCATGGGCCTGATCCGACAAGTTTAATGTTGCTTTTCCTGTTGCCATATGAGAGAGCCTAATGAAATTCATGCTGAACACCTGCAAATCTCATCTCGCGGGATTGAGACCATTTTTCTCTCTCTTTTCAGATTTATATTTTAATGATTTTTCAAATAGTACTATATTAACATTAAGATGAAGTACATTAAGTCTTTAAAAAATTCCCTAAAACATAATTAACATTTACTGAGACTGGTTTTTAAATCAGTTTACAGTAAAGTGTCTTAAGACCCAAGCTAATTCAATGTTGAACAAGAGCACACTTGCTGCAGTTTTCCTGAGAGTTTTTAAAGTAAATGAATGCCACATATGAATTCCTCCTCAGGCCTGTGACTTTTCTGCATCCAGGGCTTTATCTTCTCTCTGCCAAATATCACAATTTTGCCTGGCCTACATTCAGAGCATGGGAAGGCTGGGTGGAGTGCATATTTTAAATACATTATGAGCTGTTAAGTAATTATAGCAAGTGCACTAGTATTACAGCTAAACCTCATTAATTCAGTGTGAATCCTTGAAAGATTCAAAGAACAGCTATTAAATTACACTCCAAAAAGCTCAGTAATTCCACCCCACTGCAAAAACATGTCCTAAAAACCCTCTACTATTCTTACATTTATTTACATTTTGAGAGAGAGGGGAGACTATCACACCTTAACTCCAGTGACATGTAGAATAAAAACACCATGCAATAATTATCTTGTTAACTTTACATTATACATAACCCTTGAAGATATAAAGCCCAATTCAGATTTCAAGTCTCAATTTCTGTTCCATCATACTCAGGGATCCACAAAAATACTTTAAAAGAGGGTTGGGTGATAGTGGAGAGGACAAAGCAAGGTTTATGAAAACAAAATAAACCTTGAAAATTACGTTTTATACCATCTCATTTTCTGAAGATAATTACTTTAATGATGAGGCTATCTGCATGGGGAAATTTACAAAAAAAATTCTAACAGCTACAGTCTTTGCAAGTAAAAGCAAAATATACTTTACCTAAAAGTAATCATCCTATTGTACAGCTGTTCAATTTTTTTCAGTCAACATGTCAAAAGCCTCCCTCAGTGTTTGTATTAATATCATGGATACTTATGGGGGAATTCTGCGCCACAGCGCATGTGCATAATTCACGTGCCACACACAATTTGTATCCCCCTGCAGAAAATAACTTCTGCCGAAAAGTTGCTGCAATTACGCCTTTTGCCCACCAGGGGTTGCTGTGGCACTAGAACACAGCAGCCGCTCCAGGGCCCTAGCCAACTGCGATAAGAAGGAGAAGAGGCTGCCTTCCTGGCAGCGCAGCACCCTGCCAGTGGGGCCAAGTCAGGAGACAGAGTATATAGGGTGGGAGGGGGGAAAACAGATAGCGTGAGGCACACGGGGATGCTGGCGGGGGGAGGGGGGGTGTCACAGCCTGGAGTTAATAAGGGTTAGTCGGGGAGGACAGACTGGGGAAGGGCTGAATGGGAATGGAGGTGCAGGGCCACATGGGGATGGGGAGAGGGAGTGCAGGATCGGATGGGGGTGGCTGAGTGAGGGCACAGGGACACTTGGGGATGGGGTGGCTGAGTGGGGGCACAGGGACACATGGGTGTGATGGGTTCTCCCTTGGGGTGCCACCTGGAACTGGGGTACCACTGAGTCCCCCTCACCCACCAACCTGGACTCACTTTACACTGTACTGCTGTGACCTGCCTGCCAAGCCATCTCCCAGGCTCCAGCCTGCACTTTCACCAACACACATACAGGTAGGGACACACACACACAGCTGCAGTTACATGCAGACACTGTGATCAGCTCTGCATGGGAAGGCTCTAGCTAAGGAACTTCTCAGCTCCTCAGGCACACACCCTCCCTGTAAACCCAAAATTATACCATCTTGTGCTGCACAGAGAACTGTACAGCGTAAGCTTATGAAATTCACCCCCTCCCTCAATGTAGAGAGGAAATATGCAACAGCTTTCTGCCCTGAGTTATGACTCCCACACAGTGGCTTTTAGACAAAGCAAAAACAAGTTTATTAACTATAAAAAGTAGATTTTAAGTGATTATAAGGGATAACAAACAGATCAAAGCAGATTACCCAGCAAATAAACAAAACATGCAAACTAAGCTTAATATACTAAAGAGATTGAATATGAATAGCAGATCCTCATCCTAAGCAATGATACCAGCAGGCTGCAGACTCTTAAGGGGCAAGCTGCATTAATTTACAGTTTTAAATCCCCAGGTGTTCCATTCACAGGCTAAAAATCCCTTTAGCTGGGATCCAGCACTTCCCCACCCCAGTATAGTGTCTCTGTTCTATATTTAAGCATAAATGCAGCACAAATGACTATCCAACTGTTTAGTAAAACAGGTTATTAACTAAACTGAGCTACACATCTGACCTTTGATTACTTAATTTATCAAGCTTGCATTATTAATTTATTATTATTATTAGACAGATTTAATACATCCGGAAAAAGCATCTTGTGTCCCGCTGCTTTTCCTCCTCTTTCCTGCCGTGCCCTCCTCACACACACACTTCCTCCCGGTCACTCATGTTCGCTGCGGGTTTCCCGGAGTGACGCTCCAGTCCGCACACACAGAAAGGGAGAGCCGGGTTATCTGGCGACTCCGCATCGTTCTGACCCAGGAAAAAAAAATATCCCGACCGAGCCTCACGTGGGCGGGCGCAGAACAGGCACCGAACTGCCCTGTGGCCGAGACACTGGCCCGGCCCCGCCGCACGGGGGCTGCGAAGCCTCCGCTACCGGCCCAACTTGGCTCAGCCACGGCGGCCCCGACCCAATCACCAGCGGAGCCCGGGGACGGTGCAGGGTCCGCCCGGGGGAGGCTCGCTGGGCTCCGATCTGCGGGTCTCGGCAGGAGCCCGCCCAGCACCAGGCACCGCAAACCGGGCGGGGGGGGGGGGGACGGACTCCCTCCTCCAGTGACAGGCGGGGGGAGGGGCCGGGGCAGCCCTGAGGTGGCTCCCAGCAGCAGGAAGACGCCCCCTCCCCCCCGGCAGCGCCACGCTGCCCTCGCGCCTCCCCGCGTGTCTCTCACTCACTCAGACGCGCCGCGCTTCCGGGACCGCTCCCAGGCTGAAATCGGGCTCGGCGGGGCCCCCGCGCCTCATTCTCCTCCGCAGCCGGAGCTTGCCCCCCCGCCGCGCTCGCTCGGGCCAAAGCCGGGACTTCCAACTTCAACCACCGCCGCTTCCGGGAACGAAACCACCACCGCAGCCACTTCCGCTTCCGGGGTCAAGGGCATCATTGTGGTGCCTCCCCCCCAACCTGATACTAGGACAACGAACTATGGCGTAGGACGGGGGGAGGGAGAACGGGACCAGCATCCTTTTTTCCTGGGATGAACCAACCCACGGGCGCAGAGGAGGGTATAAGAGCTATTCCCGGCCAGGACTAAACCACTGCGCGCGGGGAGGGGTCCGCGACCTGGCGTCGTCGGGAAACTCCTTTCCTCTCCCCCCCCCCAGCTTCCGAATGGGCGGGTCCGATGAACGAGTTTCCGGGTCGGTGCGTGGCCCCCAGTGACGTGTGGTGGGGCAGGAGCTGGGCTCGTTGCCGGTGGTGGGTGAGTTGGGCTGAAGCGGGGGGGCGTCAAGGTCGGCGCTGGGGCCGTTGTGACGCAGCCGCGTTACCCGTACTGGCCGCTGGGTGTGTAGGGCCGGGGTCCCCCGCTGTTCCCCCCACCCCCAGTCCGAGTCGCCCCTTTGGCAGAGGCCCTGTGATTCCTCCCCTACCAAGAACCCCACAGCTGGGGGGGGGGGTTCTCATGACCCCCCCAATGCCAGGTTCGCCATCATGCCCCTCCCCCCGGGCAGGGGCTCTGTGTGCACCCGCCTCTCCCCTCCCCCCACTGTTATCATTGTATTATTATTATTTGTGAATCATGCAGGGGGTCAGTGTGTTGGGAGCATCAGTAGGGCTGGGATGGGCGATTGTTATGCTGGGAAGTGTTCATGATGCCATCATCTGGTTGTTCACTGGGTAGAAAACTTTTGAAGGTGATTGAAGCCGTGGCTGTGCTAAAAACAAGAGGGCAGTGGGTGCTGTGTGTCCCTGATTTCGCCCCAGATCAAGAGGCTTCTGGTCACTTATGCCTAGAACATTCTCAGTAGTTTTGAAATTGATCAGATGCAGCATTGCCTCACCCACTCAGTTTGACGACATTTCTGCCTGTCTGTGTGTGATATCTTTATGGGACCAACTTCTGTTTGTGTGTGAGAGAGAGAGCTGGTTACCCAGCACTCTTCTTCAAGTCTGTGTAAGCTCAAAAGTTTGTCTTTCACCAACAGAAGCTGGTCCAGTAAATGATGTTATTTCACCCACTTTGTCTCTCTAATATTCTGGTACCATCACAGCTATAACAACATCAAGCGGAATGTAAGACCTTGCAAGCTTGGCTAATTATTATTAATTTGTGTTGTGGTGGATTGGGCCCCAAGGTGCTGAGTGCTGGACACCCAACACAGAAGGTCGTTCTTACCCTGAGAATCTTTGGACATGTCCACACCACAGATTAAGCCTGGGTCTGAGCCTGGGTTCAAGAAAAACCTTCTGTGTGTCCACACTGCAGTTGTGCTAAACTAGAGCTCAGACCCAGGACCCTGCAGGGTAGGAGGGTCCGAGCCCATGTTAAGCCAGGACCTAGGGTCCCTATTGGTTTCCTATGTACATGTGGCCCTGGCTTGACTCACATCTTGGGAGTCCTACAGATGTATCTCATGGTTCCTGGCAGCAGAGTGGCTGCGCTGCAGATAGCCAGCGCAGCGGGCCAGAAGCACTATTACTGCCTGGCCGAGTCCGCTCTCCTTTCCTGCTCTTCCCTCCATCTCCTATTCGCTGCTGTGTGGAACTTGCCCAGAGCAGGGAGCAAAGTTTCAAAGTGGGAGTCAGCTTCCAGGATGTTGGGGCTCATCTAGGGTTACCATACGTCCGGTTTTTCCTGGACATTTCCGGCTTTTCGGCAATCAAACCCCCGTCCGGGGGGAATTGCCAAAAAGCAGAATGTGTCCGGGAAAATGCCAGCCGGGCACTTCCCCTCCCGCGGCGGCTCTGCTCCTCCCCTGACTCTTCGGCTCTGTTTAAGAGCCGA